TTGCTCTTCCTCCACAAATGTCAGCAACAGTGGCACAAATATAAAAAGAAAAATAACGAAGAACAGTACAAGCCAAAGTCCCTGAAAAATACTTAGATTTTTAGCAAATTGAATAAGCCTCTTCAAATCGACTGTATATTTAGTTCGAGGTCATATGTGGAAAAGAAATGACAGTCGGAGTCCCTTCACATGATCTCAGCTTCATAAATTTCTCCTCTCTCTCCTTCCGATTCTTACCACTCCTAATTCTCCTTCGTCTTTCGTTTCTAACTTTTCAACCACACAAATAATTTTGCGAAACTCATTTCGCGCTTTCCAACAAGCTTTATCAAGTATAAACCCTGCCTGAGCACTACAATGACTAGAACTACCTTCTTTTCAAAAAATACGGTTTCAACAATACACATTCACCATTAGCGCAGCTTTGAGCCTTTCAAGGCCGATCTAATCGACCTGTATCATCTAATGACTAATGAGCTACTGGCAGTTATGGCATCTGCTTTGATGCTTTCTTTCTTTGCTCTTCCACAAAAAAATTGTCAAAACTATTGTATATCCTGAGGTCTTCAACTCGTTCAGTAACACTCCTCCTACTCTCCTTGACAATGGCGATCACGCCGCAAAAGAAAATAAGCCAGGATTGAGTACATGAATTTTAAGGTCCTCAGACCTACACAATTTTTCAGAAATACTTTTTCTCTACGAATTTTTGATCGCCAGTGGCTTAAGTCCCCAGACCTACACAGTTTTTCAAAAATACTTTTTCTCTACGAATTTTTGATCGCCAGTGGCTTAAATGTGGATGAAATTACCCTGAATGTAGTGTCCGGAGAGCTCGCATCCACGAAATGAAAAGCACCATCGACGGTATCAACGGGTAAATTGTTTCGCACCTGGGCTATTGTGGCATCTGTCTTTTCGAACAACTCGTCTACACTTTTGTCCGAATGATTGCCGCTACCAAGAAGAGGCCTGCAATCTCAAACACATCTGAAAGACCTGTTTAAGCATTCCCTTTCACTTACTCATCCCCCAGACAGGACAAAGACATACTTTTCATACATTTAATGCGCTTGAGTATAAAAATATTCACTAATTAAGTTAATGATTTCACACGAAATCAGTGCTTTTGGACCCGTAATTTTTGCAGAAAACGCGTGAAGCTGCCCATGCTACTGCTCTATCAATTAGCCATTTCTCATAGACAATTACTGAAACAAATCTGAAAGATTGATACTCAGGTCTGCTGGAAGATATTTCGTGCTAATGTTATCTTAAAAATGTCAATCCACCTTCAGCCGAAAATCGCAGCTTCTCCCCACTCTTTTTGTGG